AGAACAAAAGGGTAAACGCTGACTTGATTTTGATTTTCAGTATGAATACAAACTGTGAAAGCATGGCCTATCGATCCTTTAGATCTTTCGAATTTGAAGCTAGAGGTGTCAGAAAAGTTACCACAGGGATAACTGGCTTGTGGCAGCCAAGCGTTCATAGCGACGTTGCTTTTTGATTCTTCGATGTCGGCTCTTCCTATCATTGTGTCGCAGAAGTCACCAAGTGTAGGATTGTTCACCCACTAACAGGGAACGTGAGCTGGGTTTAGACCGTCGTGAGACAGGTTAGTTTTACCCTACTGATGAACGGTTGTCGCGACAGTAATCTAACTTAGTACGAGAGGAACCGTTGGTTCAGATATTTGGTCATTGCGGTTAGCTGAACAGCTAGTGCCGCGAAGCTACCATCTGTAGGATTATGACTGAACGCCTCTAAGTCAGAATCCATGCTGGAAAGCGACGATATTCACCTCTCCCGATGTTACACGCATCACGATAGGCTTCGGCCGAGCATCATACTCCATCGCAATTTCGAATGTTGGGAGGGATAAATCCTTTGTAGACGACTTAAATATGGAACGGGGTATTGTAAGCATGAGAGTAGGCTTTGTCCTACGATCTGCTGAGATTCAGCCTCTTGTTCCGGCGATTTGTTAATGTGAAAGCAGACAGCGAGCTTCTGTGCGCCCTCTTCCGAGAGTCGAGCTGCACGTCGATCCATCTCTTTCGCGCTCCCCCCCAATCAAACCAGACACAAAACCAATACAGCTCCAATTGGGGCGAACCAACCCAACCCAAAAACAAAATCCGTGCCTTTTTGTGCGGGTTTCTCTTCTGCGTCTCCCGACGCAACACTCTACTCCAGAAGACCTTTTTAACACCCAAGCCGCTTTCGTGCGGGTTTTATCGTCATAGTGATTGACTACTCGGACGACTACTACTACGACTCATCGACTCCACCACTTCTCTGAAAACGCCCAAGTCAAAATCGTGCGGGTTTCTTGGCTACCACTGCCAAGTACCCCCAAGTACCCTGCACCGGACACTTTGACGCCCGAATACGCCCGTTTCCTCGCGCCGTAAAACGCCGCTCGCCGTCCGCCGCGCCCCGCCCCGCCCCCGCCGGGACTCCCTCTGCTCGACCGACGCACAAACCAGCAGTCGCCGCGCGCGCGCCCGTCGCCGCGCCCTTCCGCGAATACGGCCTTTTCTCCCGCCTTCGCGCGCGCCGCCGCCCCTCCTCGACGCCACTCGCCCCTCGCACCGCCCACGCCCCGCGACGACGTCGCGCACGGCCCGCTCGCGACTCGCCGCGACCCGTCGCGCCCGCGCGCTGCGCGCCGCCGAGGCCTCGCGGCACCGGGCCTGCACGCTGAAGTCGCACCCAAATTAAACCGCCGAGCGAGCCTCCACCAGCCTGTACGCCACCCCGCTAGTACACGCGCGGGTAGCCCTTCGTCGGCGGCGCGGGCGCGGCGGGCTGCGCGTAGGCGACGGGCTGCGCGGGCGCGGGCTGCGCGAAGGCCGTCGGCAGCGGCGGCTGGGGCGGCATGGCCCGGGGCTGCTGCGCGACGGGCGGCTGCTGGGGCGGGTAGGCCTGGGTCGGGTAGCCCGGCGCGCCCGGGACGGGGTAGCCCGGCTGGGGCGGGGACGCGCCCGGCGCCGCGTAGGCGACGTCCTTCGCGGGGAACCACGGCTTCGGGCTGCCGTAGGCGCTCTGGGACGTGTTGCGGTCGATGACGAGCATGGCGCGGCGGAAGCGCGCCTGCCACCCGACGAGCCCCGCGCAGCCCGCGTTCATGCCCTCGCACGCGCCCATCGCGGACCCGCACAGCAGGAGCTCGACGAGGATCCAGACCGGGTAGAGGACCATGAGCAGCCAGAAGGCCGGGAGGCAGCAGCAGTAGAACTCGCCGGCGCACTTGGAGCCCGCGGCCTTGGACCGGCGCTCGACGTACTCCGACGGGTTGAACCAGCCGCCGCGCGACGGCGCGGGCGGCGGCGGCCGCGCGCGCCCGTCCTCGATGTCGTACTGCTCCTGGCCCTTCTGGATGACGTCGCAGTAGCACGTGCAGCACGTCGACACGCGGTGGAACGCGCCCGGGACCCACTTGACGAGGCCCAAGAGCAGCGCGTAGAGGAGGCCGCCGACGAAGCCGACGGGGGCGAGGACGAAGACGGCGACGCAGGACACGCAGGCGCAGTCGGGGCAGATGCCCTTGCACCCGTCGCGCCGCAGCGTGTTGTAGCACCACAGCAGGCACATCTTCCCGGTCCCCTTCGAGAGGTCGGTGTCCGCGGGCGGCGTCGAGGACGGCGCCGAGAGGGGGGCTGCCTCCTTTGAAAGAGCATCTTTACCGCACCTTCGTCGCCGACTCACTTGCGGCAATCGTGGGCCACCACTCGACTTGTCGTCTTCGAAGAGGTGGCCTAGCAACGCGGCGCGCGACCATGGCCGCTTCGGCGCGCTACGGCAAGTGGGTGGACCAGGGCCTGAGCGCCAAGGCCGTGAGCCCCATGCACGTCAAGGTGCGCGTGCTCGCGATCCCGCAGGCGGGCATGGGCGCCTGGGCCTTCCACGGCTGGCAGGAGAAGCTCCCCAAGTCCGTGGAGATGCTCCCCGTGGAGCTCCCGGGCCGCAACTCGCGCATGCTCGAGGACAAGGGCCAGTCCATGGCCGAGCTCGTCGGCGACCTCGTGACGGCCGTGATGCCGGCGCTCGAGTCGAAGCCGTTCGTCGTCCTCGGCCACAGCCTCGGCGCGTGGATGGCCTTCGAGGTCTGCAACGAGATCGAGCGGCGCCGCGGGCCCAAGCCCCTGTGCCTCATCGTCTCCGGCTGCCGCGCGCCCCAGCTCCACGAGCCCCTGGAGCACGACGCGGACCGCGTCATGCCGTGCCTCCACGACCTGCCCAAGGGCAGCGGCCCGGGCTCGTTCTGGGAGCACTTCGACCGCCGCTACGGCAAGAACCCGGACCTCGCCTCCGACGGCGTCAAGGACTACGTCGAGCCGCTGCTGCGGAGCGACTTCAAGATCCTGGAGACGTACGCGCCGACGCGCGGCGCGGCCGAGAAGTTCCCCTTCCCCGTGCTGGGCTGCGGCGCGCGCGGCGACAACCGCTTCACGCCGGAGCAGCTGACGGCCTGGAGCGTCTACACGGACACCTTCGCCGAGCGGTGGTTCGACACGGCGGCGACGATGCCCAAGTGGTCGACGCCGCACCGCTACCTCGTCGACAGCCCGGACGCGTTCGTCGCGTTCCTCGGGCCCAAGTGCGAGGACCTCTTCAAGAACAAGCCCAAGCCGCCGCCCATCCGCCCGGGCGCCTACGCCGTCGCGAACAAGAAGGGGGCGCTCGTGCGCGCGGAGTGCGACCTCGCGAGCGCGCAGGTCGGCGACCTCCTGCCCGTGGGCACGCGCGTCACCGTCGAGGAGGCGGTCCACGTCCCCAACGCCAAGCCCCGGGCCCGCATCTCCGCGCCCGTCGCCGGCTGGCTCTCCTGCCACGTCATCGCCCAGCTCCTCGGCTAAGTTTTGCGACGGCGCGGTAGTGCGAGCGGCGGTGCGAACTTCACTGCGAAGCGCGGCCGAAACAAGAACGGGCGTACTCAAAGTTACGGCGGGTTCGGCCGCGCGGCCGCGTTCATGGCCGCCTGACGCTTCGCGATGGATCTCGCGCGCGCGGCCTCGCGGTCGGGATCTGGCGCTCGCGGCCTTTGCAGCGGCGCGGCGACGCCGCGCGCGACGGGCGCGGCCACGTAGGTCCAAAAGTAGAGCACCGCGCAGGCGCCGAGCAGGAGCTGGAAGGGCGACGCGACCATGGCGCGCAGCTGTCGCACGTCCAGGCGCTGGACGAGCTGGCCCCGCCGCCGCGACCGGTCCTGCCGGTCCGCGGACTCGCGCGCCTCGAGTTCCGCGTCGTAGATCTGGCGTTGCTCGTCGTCCGCGAGCGTCTCGACGGCCTCCGACGCGAGGATGAAGCGCCGCGCGCAGCGCGCCTCGCCCTTGGTCGCCAGGCGCCAGAGCCGGACGTACCACGGCGCGAAGCGCCGCGACATGACCTTGTCCGGATGGTAGAGGAGAGCTTTGGCCTTGTAGCCGGCGCGGATTTCTTTTGTGGTAGCCGAGCGCGACACGCCGAGTGCGGCGTAGTGGTCCCGCGGGTCCTGCAGCTCCCAGTAGCACGCGATCGCCGCGACGGCGACGGCAAAGGCGCCGTAGAGGCGCGCGCGGCCTCCCATAATTACCACAGTCGATTCTTGAGGCCTTTGTTGCCTCTCTTCAAGGCGGGGTTTGCTCCGGCGACGGCGTCCGATGGCCGACGCGCCCCCCGTCCAAACTACCGGGGATTGGTGTGCGGCCAGGGACGCCCGGTGGCTAGACGTGCCAAAAACAAGCGCTCGCTTTGGGACGAATGGCTAGCCGTTTCCGGGGTTGGTAGCAAAGCTGTTTGTAAGTGTTACAAACACTATCCCGACCTCACGAAACACCTGTAGACACTTCCGTCAGCGCGACGGAACAGTTGCTGGTTCGACTTCGGTCTTTTTTTTTGCATATTTGGTGGTAATTTTCGCCTTTTTTTGGCCGTTGAAACACTTGCCAACACTTGCCTCTCCCCCCTAAACACTTACATTTTGTGCTCCAAAACACTTCACTGGAACTTTGCTACCAACCACGGCCGTTTCGCTGGCTTGAGTACCGAACACGTACGCGCGGGCCGCCGGCGGGAACGGAGACCTCTGAGGCCAAGCTTCCGACGCACGGCAGCCCGTTCTGGTGGTCGGAGTGGCCTTCCATGACCCCTAGGCGTAAGCCTGACCGTCGGTGCCCCCATCGGAGGTGGTTCTGGCGTCGACCAAATTCCACCGCGCGGGCCTCGTCTCCAGCGCGGCGCGACGCCGGGCTCTGCGGCGGCGCGCGCTCTGGCTCCAGGGGCTATCCGCCGCTCGCGAGCGGTGGATCTGCTGCGGGCGGCGCGCTCTGCGCGCAGGCTCGCAGCGGTGTAGCTGCGCACAGCTAGCAGGTGTAGCGCGGTGGCTCACAGCGCGAAAATGGGGACATAACCCAGATCAGAGTGAGACTGCGTTACGGGTATCCTAGGCGTATCCTGGCTCCTCTGCGCGCCACCATCGATGGCGTTGGATACGCCCCTTGGTTTTGGGCGCGACGTGGGTGTGACGGCTGGGGAACGCCGTTTTCCGGTAGTAAGATGTACCACCCCGCTCCGCACGCAGGGGTGCCGCCGACGCCGGCGGTGCAAACTCCCCACTGATCAATGAAATTTTCTTGAACTCGTTGCCTCTCGCCTCTGTCGTGGTCCGTCGTCTGCGTCTCCCGCGCGCGACCCTGGGTGGTCTCGGATCGAGGATGGCGCTGCCGCCGTCGAGGAGCGACGGCACGCCGTTCCCGTGCCAGTTGAGTGAGGAAGAGTACAAGGCCAAGCTCACGGGCTCGCAGTACCGCTGCCTGCGCCAGGGCGGCACGGAGGCCTACCGCCGCGGCGAGTTCTGCAACTTCTTCCCCGAGGACGGCTACATGGCCTGCGACCGCCCGCGTCCAAAGAAACCGCGGAGTGTTCGTTTCCGCCGCGAACGACGCGGTCGACCGCGGCGCGCTTTCACTACAGACTCAAAGCGGCAATTCCACCCTGCCTAATTGTGACACTGTATCTCTGACACACAAACGACGCTCCGTAGGCGCGGCGTGCGACATCCCGCTCTACAGCGCCAAGTCCAAGTTCGCGGACCCCGGTTGGGACGCCTACGCGTCCTGCTACTGGACGGGCTCCACGTGCCACGTCGGCGTGCGGCCCGACGGCTCGGCGCTCGAGAACTTCTGCAACAACTGCGGCAGCCACCTGGGCCACGTCTTCTTCCGCGACCCCCACTCGCCGGCTCCGACCAAGGAGCGCCACTGAGTCAACAGCTGCTGCACGAAGTACGTCAAGGGCCCGCCGCCGCCGGGCCTCACGGAGAAGGTCGTCTTCGTCCCGTCCAACATGCAGTCGTTCACCAAGTAAGCCGCCGCGACGCCGCGAGGCGCCATGACGGACGCGTGCCCGCCTCGCAAGGCGCGCGCCCCGACCAGCCTCGCGCCGCGACCGCACCCTCCCCGTAGATCATTCTTTTTGTGCGCGTTGCCGGCGCGATTTCTGCGGGGCTTCTTACGGTCCGCCTTGCGGGGTGCCCGGCTCTAGATGAGCATGTTGGTGATCGTCTGGGTCTCGACCTGGGAGACGCCGTCGATGGCCTTGATCTTCTCGAGGAACGCGGCCTCGGGCTCGTGGCCGCCCGCCTCCCAGGGCCCGTAGGCGTCGAGGGGCACGGTGGTCATGAGCTTGAAGTCGAGGCAGGAGCCGCAGACGAGGCGGTTCACCGTGGCGTCCTTGTCGATGGCCTTGAGCGCGGGCAGGAACTCGTCGACCGCCGCGGCGATCGCCGCGAGCGACTCCGAGTCGGACTTGTCGCCCGTGTACCTGGGGAAACCGGTGTGTTGGACGCGGCGCGGCGATGTCGCGGGCGCGGGCGGCGCGCTTGCAGCGCCATTCGCGGCAGACGCGGTCGAAGCTCATGCCGCCGGCGAGCGGCACCGAGTTCAACTTCGTCGACGTCTTCGGCGACGCCGCCGGCGCAAAGGCGGCGGCGGACGCGGCGAGGAGGGCGAGAAGGATGCCTGCGCGCGAGGATTTTGGCGTCCGGGCGAAGCGGTTCGGGCGCGCGCGCGCGCGCTGACGCTGCAACCGCACGAGCCATGATGTGATCAGATTCTATCAGGGTTGTGTTTTTTTGCGACCGGGGGGGGCCTTGGGGGGGTTTTGACGGGGGTGGGGGGGGTCGACTTCTGCTCGGCTCGGGCGCGACAACCTCCTGAAAACAGCGCCCCAGTACGCGTCCGGGCCGCCGGGAGTCGCCGGGACGGGGGGTGGGGGGGTCGCTGAGGGCCCATAAAACCCCCCCAAGGCCCCGGGGGGGGGCTAAAAAACACAACCCAGCGGCGGATCGAGACGAGTGGCTGCCGAGGGCAGCGAGCCGCGGCCGCCGCGATGGCTCCGGCGCGCCTGGAAGCGCCTGGCGATAGGCGCCCGAGTCTTCCCCGACACCGACCACGACGTCATTCGAACGGTGCGACGCCGCCTCGGAACTTGCAGCAAGTAGTTAACTCTAGTAGTTAACAGGCCAGCCTCAGTCCATGCGGATCATGCCCCCGGCCTGGAACGGGTTCTCGCCGCGCGGCATCTGGCCGCCGCGCTTGCCGGTGCCGTTGCAGTCGTACATCTGGTGCATGGTCAGGTTGCGCTTGAGCATGGTCGACAGCTTCTCCTGCTCCTCCTCGTAGGCGTCCATGTCGTCGAACTGGCCCTGCAAGTCGTCCTCGCGGAGCGCGACGGGCGCGGGCGCGTTCGCGTGGACCGCGCGCTTGAGCCTGCCGTCGTAGTAGGCCGGGTCGTGGAGCCAGGGCTTCGTCTTCCGGAGGCGGTCGTCGATCTCCTTGCCGTAGAGCAGGGGCGCCTTCTTCGGGCCCGAAACCGCCGTCGGGTCCGCGGCGTCCGTGACGTCGATGGGCCCGTCGGGCTCGTCCGTGAACGACTGCTTCAGGCCCGCGAAGATGCCCGTCTTCTTCTCCGCGGCGTTCTTCGCGGCCTTGGCCTTCTGCAGGCGGTCCATGGTCAGGCGCACGTCGCGGTAGACGCTCTTCGCCGCCTTCTTGTCGTCGTCGGAGTACTTTTTTTTCTCGACGACGGTCTTCGCGTCTAGCGCCGCGCGCTTCAGGTCGTCGACGGCGTCGGCCCAGCGCTCCAGGTCCGCGCGCGCGGCGCCGCGCCGCAGGTGCGCGCGCGCGTACCAGACGAGCGGAAACGCGTCGCGGCTCCGCGGCGCGAAGCCGAGGGCCTTCGTGAGGCAGACGTCCTCGTCGGCGTAGGTCCGCCGCTTCCGCGCGCACAGCGCGACGTTCAACAATAGGGGCACGACCAAGTCGCGCTCGACGTCCTTCTTCGCCTCGTCGGGCGGCTTCCACTCGATGATGGCCTCCTGGACCTTCTGGATGGCCCGCGTGTAGAGCGCCTCGGCCCGGCGCCACTTGCCCGCGCGCGCGGCCGTCGAGCCGCGCGCCTTGAGCTCGCCCGCGGCCTCGAACGCGTCCGCGTGGCCCTCCTCCGTCGCCACGCGGTCCAAAATCTCCTCGAGCTCGACGGCGAAGCGGCAGAGCGCGCCGGAGCCCGCGGGCGCGCCCTCGCTCAGGCTGAACTCGCCCGACGCTACGACGACGGCGGCCTCGCCGGGCCGCATCGACAGCAGCGCGGTCTCGACGCCCTCGCAGAGGTCGTGGTCGCCGCCGAGCTCGCGGACCTTCGCGTCCGTCGTCTTGAGGGACGCGACGAGCGCGTCCTCGGCGACGTCGTCCGAGGCCTGGGCCACGCGGCAGCGCACGCGGTCGCCGAAGCGCGGCCGGCGCGGCTTGCCGTCCTTGGTCAGCCGCCCGAGCGCGACGCGCTTCTTCCGCGCGGCGCCGGACGTCAGCGGCGGGCCCGGCGTGCGCTGCGCCGCCGGCGGGCACCAGGGGTTCGTGCTCGGCCGCGGCGCCACGACGCGCTCCTCGCGCACGAAGTGGAGCTCGACGGTCGCGGACCGGCCCTCGCCGCAGTCGACGCGCGCGGCCTCGCCGCGGCGCATGTCGAGGAGCGCGGCGTCGATGGCGCCGCGCCAGGGCTCGTCCGCGGGCACGGGGTCCGCGACGACGAGCACGGCGCGCGTCGCGCCCGCGATCTCGCGGCCCTCGCGGTCCTCGACGGCGTACGTCACGACGGCCTCGGCGCCCGCCGCGGGCCGCACGCTCCCGCAGAGGCTGCGGTGCGCCGGCGGCTTGAGCACCTCGACGCCCGCCCGGCCCTTCTCGAAGTCCTCGACGACCTTCCACTTGCGGTCGCGCTCCGCGATCTCGTCGCGCGTGTAGCCGCCGGCGCGGCCGCCGCAAAAGTCCTCGTCCTCGCTCTCGCCGGCCTCGGGGTCCTCGCCGAAGTAGACGCGCCATTTCAAGGCCTCCGCCGTCGACGCCATCGTCGTGTTTAGTTGCGCGGGCTACGACGTCTCGTGCCACAAGGCGACAGCGTCCGGAGGCGAGTGGTGCCAGCAGCGCTCGGCCGGAGCGGAGCGCTTCCGTCGCTTCGGCGCCGACCGCGGTCGACGCCTGCCGCGGCCTGCGTCGATGGCATCCGTCGGACCGCCGCACGTGGAGAAAGGCCCCAACCGGACTCCGCCGGCATTCCGACGGCTCCTACCGCAGGGCGATAGAATGTCGCTAAGGACTCCCCCTATAATCTATTCGAGTTCAAGTCCACGCGCCGCGCAAACGTCGTCGGACCCGGGGAAATTTATTTTAATAAAGCTTAAGCTTAATGTAGAAAAACCTAATCCTAGTTTCGTAATAAAGTCATTATTGTCGAGCTACGAATCATCGTAAATGAGCTAAGCTTCAACCCGTTTAAACCCGTGGGGGCAGCCATCGCTGGGCAGCGATGGAGCTCTTCACGCGCCTCCGGGACTCCTTCTCCTCGGCGATGTCGGGAGCGAGCTCGGGCACGGAGGACGCCGGCGACGGCGCCTACAACGCGGACCGGGACGAGCACCCGCAGCGCGCGCGCGGCGAGGCGGGGTCGCGCCCCGAGGACGGCGCGCGCAAGAAGGGCAAGAAGGCGACGCCCCCTTCTTCTCCGGTGCGCCGCATGAGCCTCGACCACGCGTCGGACTCCGACGAGATGCACGACGCCGTCGACACGGAGATGCGCAATCACACCCTTACGAGGTGATCACCGTGCTGTAGACGTAGAGCCGCGGACTCGCGCGCAAGCTTTTCTTGATGCAACCTTGAAGCCTCCTTGGAGCTCCCCTGCGAGGCTCAGGTCGAGGTCTGAACTGGCCCAAGTCCCCTCGAGCGTCGCGCGTCCGCAGCCGCCAGGCCCCTCGTGCGTCGCGCGTCTGCAGCCCGCCAGGCCCCTCGCGCGCCGCGCGTCCGCAGCCATGAGTTCCAAGATACCAGACCTGGCGATCAAAGAGCTCAAGACCCTCATCAGCGTGGCGCGCCTCGAGCACAAGGACTGTCTCAGCCGCCCGGACCTCGAACGACGCGCGGGCGAAGCCGTCGCGCGGACGAGCGCGATGGTCGCTAGTCTCGATCTGAGCCAGCTCAAGACCGCCTCGGAAGTCTTCGGGGCGGCGCGGCGCGCTCAGGCCTCGGGATCCGAGCCCGACGTTCGGGCCGCGCTCGAGAACGCGTACGCTCGCGGCTCCGAGCTGCTTCCTCAGGGCATTCGCTTCTCCCTCATCGCGCAGCTCATTAAGATCCAGTGGGCCAAGGCCGGATTCGTCGCGGGCGCCGGGCCCTCGGAGCTCGGCTTGCCGCAGGGCGGCGTCATCGGCGGGGCCGACGACGATACTCTCTTCGGGCTCCTGGACGCGCGCGAGATTTATGTCCGCGCCCGCGAGGCGGCGCGCGCGCGACGCCCGGACGACTGGCTCGACGAGCCGTCGGTCGCCGCCGCGTGCGCCGGCGTCGAGGCGGCTCAAGCGAAGCTCGGTCTCACGCGAGAGACCATGGGCGCCGTGGCGGACCAGGTCGAGGGGCGGGACATCTACGGGAACCGGCTCTGGCACAGCCGGCTCGGCCGCAAACGCAGCGACTCGAAGTACTAGGCGGCTCGATAGCCTCCTCCCCTTTTTCTAAACCCCTCCTCGAACAACCCACCGCTCCCAACAAAATTGAACAAGATGATTATCAGAAGGCCATCGCCGTCGCCATCGCCGGCTTCTCCTCCTCCTCGTCGTCGTAGGAGATGGCGACGCGGGCCTTGCGGCCCTTCTTTGGCCGTTTTTTGTCCTCGCGCGGCGGCGGCGGCGCGTCGTCGACCGGCGCGCCGTCCTCGAGGCCCTCGGCGACGTCCTCCAGGTCCTCCATGTCGCTCTCGAAGTCCTCGGCGGCCTCGATGTACTCGACGAGGCGCTCCTCCTCCTCCTCGTCCTCGTACTCGGCCTCCATCTCCGCGAGCTCCAAATCCTGCGCGGAGTCGAGGGCCGCGTTGTAGTGCATCTCGGGGAAGTTGTAGATGTCGCCGTAGGTGCCCTGCTTGAGCCGCTGGAGCAGCTCGCTCTCGATGGACTTGTTGAGCTTCGCGGCGACGAGCGCCTTGACCTCCTTCCGGTTCTCGCGGCGCTCGACCTTCTTGTGGACGACGGCCATGTGGGGCCGGCTCCGGAGCGCGAGCTTGCGCATGCGGATGAGGTACTGGTAGATGCGCGTGAGGCGCTGCTTGTTCCGGTGCTGGAGGAACTTGGGGAAGTGCTCGAGCTCCTCCGTCACGACGGCGAGCGCCTTCGCGTAGTTCCGGGGGAGCTTGATCTTCTGCCAGAGCTTCTTGGGCATGTGCGCGCGCTCGATGGTCTTGATCATGAGGTAGCAGCGGCCCTCGATCTCCCGGATCGTCGCGTAGCGCGAGTTCGCGAGCGGGCACGCGCTCTTGTTGCAGAGGCCCGTGACGTTCTGCTCGTTGCGGCAGAAGTTGTGGGTCTTCGACACCGTGCTCTTGAAGGAGCAGAAGTTCCCGTTCAGCGACTGCCAGATGAGCTCGTCGTTGATCGACATGGTTCAGGGGCGGCGCGGCGCGGCGATGAACGACGGCGCGGCGGCGGCGCGGGGGCGAACGTCGCGGTGCTTTCGCGTCGCCGGCGCGTGCGCAGTGCTTCGGCGGCGTGGGGTAGCGGCGCGGGCGGTCGGGGGGCGGATTGGTGAGCTCACGCGCAGATAAAAGCGGGCCTCGACGATGCCCAGCCTATCGCTTGTCGAAGCAGCCGAAGTCGATGTGCACTCGATGTTTCCATGTTGCCCTCGCGCCGCACGATGGTAGCAGCCCCCGAATATATATGCGTCTCCTAGCGCTCGCGCTCGTCGCCTGCGCTGCCGCGCGCGGCCGACGGCGCCACCACCCGGCCGCGCCCGACGGCGAACGCGACGACGACGACGAGCGCGCGGCGCGGCGGCGGCGGCGGCGGCACCGGCGCAGCTTCGACGACGACCAGACGAAGTGGGCGGCGGCGCTCGAGGCGTTCGCCTACAAGCCGACGACGCCGCCGCCCCCGGCATTCTGGGCGAGCTGGCCCGACGGCCACCGGAGCGGCGGCGTCGGCAACCAGCTCGAGCAGCTTCTGGGCCGCGCGCAGTGCTCGATGCGCGAGGGCGGCGGGAACAATCGCACCATGGTGCTGCCGGACCTCCGGTCGGACCGCGCGGCGCCGCCGCGGGCCTACCGCTTCGAGGACGTCTTCGACGTCGGCGCGCTGCGCGGCGTCGCTGACGTCGCGACGTGGCGCGACTTTTTACGAGCGTGCGATCGCGCGAGCTTGGTACGCGAGCGCGACGGCGACGTCCCGAACGCGACGTGCGGCGACGACGCCGCGTTCGCTAAAACGGCGCTGCACCGGCACGCGAAGGCTCTGGAACCGCCGAAAGCGACGGAGGTCTGCGACGTCGGCGCGGACGCGCCCTTTACGGACGTGTTGCGAAATCTTCCCCGGTGCGCCGTCGGCGTCGACGCCAAGGCCTTCCAGCTCCTGGGCCCCTGCGCGCGCGACGTCGCGCCGGGCCGCCGCGCCTTCAAGTCCGGCCGCCCCTGCGCGGGCGTGGACGTCGCCCAGTCGCCCTGCGCGACGGGCTTCGATTGGTCCGCGACGCTTTCGAAAGCCGCGCTGGGCTTGGTCGCGCCCGCGCGCGCGGCCGCGCACCTCGCGCCCTGCGACGCGACGGCCGTCTCGCGCCTCGACGCGACGGAGCCCCGGGCGGGGCGCTTCCTGCGGGCGCTCGGCGCCGCGCCCGCGCTGCTGCCCGTCGCGCGGCGCCTGCGAACGTCGCTCTTCGGCGCGGAGCCCTACGACGCGGTCCACGTGCGCCTCGGCGACTTTGGGGACCTCTGCGGCGCCGCGGCGGACCCCGTGGACCGCAAGTACAAGTTCTGCCCGCCCGCGGACGACGAGCTGCGGCGGGTCTTCGGCGAACTCGAGAAATACGGCGAGACCGCGGCGCCCGTGCTCCTCCTGTCCGACGAGCCCGTCGAGGCCGCGCGGCGCCTCGGCGACGATGCGCGGCTCCGCATTCCGGCGAACGCCTCGCTCGTCGACGCGCCGCGCCTCGCGGTGGAGATGCACCTCGCGGCGCACGCGCGGCTCTTCGTCGGCGTCGCGTGCTCGACCGTGAGCCAGCTCATCGTCAAGCGGCGCCAGGCCAAGGGACGGGACTACGTGCTCTGGCCGTAACAGACGTGCGCGGTTTAGGGAGGGGCGGCGATGCGAGGGGGGGGCGGCGCCTGCTGGCTCAGAGGCTCGTGACGGGTGGCCGCCGCGGCGGGAGCCGCTTCGGCGGGTGCCGCTTGATGCCCTCGAGCGCGTCTTCGCCGTCGTCGGCGGACCCCGGCATCTGGCCGCCGAACATGGGCTTGAAGTAGCGGTTGTCGATCTCGCGCCACGCGCCGTGGATGCCCAGCCCGCCCGGGCTCCGGGGCCCGTCGCGGTCGCCGCCGCCGCCGCCGCGCTCCTCGCGGTCGTCGGCGATGTTCATGAGCTCGTACTGCTGCGACGTGAGGGGCGTCGCGGCGTCGTCGTCGTCGCCGTCGGCCTCGCCGTGCGTCCGCTTCATGCCGCTGAGCCGGATCACGGACTCCGTGAGACCGCCGCAGACGAGGGTCGTGAAGATGACGATGGACAGCGTCGTCGTCTCGTAGACGTCCTTGTGGGGGCCGGGCATGTTCTGGGACAGCGCGAAGGCGATGGCCCCGCGGAGCCCCGCGAACCAGATGACCAGCTGCATGCGGAGCGGGATCTTCACGGACCGCGTCGCGTTCGAGAGGAACGACAGGGGGAAGACGTTGCAGGCCCGCGCGAAGGAGCAGAAGAGGATCGCGAGGAAGATGAACGTGCCGTCCCAGGACTTGAAGCGGCCCGTGAAGAAGCCCATGCCCATGTACATGAACACGAACGACTCCGCGACGGTGCTGAGCGCGGAGAAGATCTCCTCGGCCGTGACCTGGCTCGTCTTCGACAGGTTGTAGGAGTTGTAGTGGGCCAACACGATGCCGCAGAAGAAGAGCGCCATGATGCCCGAGAGCTCGATGGACTCCGCGAGCGCGTACGCGCCGTAGGCGAAGAGGAACAACAGCGAGATCTCGTACTTGGGGTAGTCGCGGATCCGCGTGTGGCGGAAGATGTAGGAGCAGATGAGGCCCGTGATGACGCCGATGAAGACGGACCCGAGCGACACGCCCAGGAACTCGACGAGCGCGACGGGGATCTTCGACTGGTCGAGCTCCTCGCCCTCCTCGTAGTAGTTGTAGAACGTGCGAAACAGCACGATGGCCACGGCGTCGTTGAGCACGGACTCGCCGAAGACCAGGCTGTACAACAAAGGGTCGCAGTTGAGCTCCGGCGAGCCCATGATGCTCAGCGTCGCGACGGGGTCCACGGCCGAGATGAGCGCGCCGAAGAGCAGCGCCTCCATCGGGTTCGTGCCGTCGATGTCGATGATGCCCGCCTTGCCGCAGGCGAAGGTCAGGTAGCCGACGACGAAGGTCGACACGACGGTGCCGAAGACCGCGTAGGCCGTGATCGTGCCCAAATTTCGGAAGAAGTTCTTCCGGCGGAGCGTGTAGCCCGCCTCGAAGATGATGGGCGGCAGCAGCATGAAGAAGAAGAGCTCGGGCTGGAAGCTCAGGAAGTTGAGCTCCTCGTCGCTGTGCGTGATGAGCCGCGCGATGCCCCCGACGACGAGGCCCACGCAGAGCGCCGCCGACGACTCGGGCATGAAGTAGAACCGGTACTTCTTGATGAGGTACGCGCTCAGGATGCAGAGGCCCAGGACGACGACCAGGAGGAGCGTGTTCAGCGCGTGGAACTCGTGCTCGCCGTCGTCCTGCTCGAGGCGCCGGCCCTCGGCCCACGGGAACATGGTGCGAGCGAAAGTGAAACTCAGGGAGAGCGCTCTGTGGCAGAGGGCGTCGCCGATTTAGACGGTGTTTTTGGACGGCGTCGGCGCGAGGAAATGGTCGAGCGCGTCGCGTCGCGTCGAGTAGCGGTCTACGCTGCCGTGAACGCGGTCAATGCGCGCGCGTCGCGGCCGGCGTCGAGGTCGCGGCACAGCCCGAGACCGAGGTAACATCACCCTGGCGAGGGTTAGTCTCAGGCGATCGGCGACTCCCCGGCTAGCATCGCCGCTCCGTATGGCGCCGTGTCCGCTGCAATTTTGATGAGAGCGTCGATCGTCGATCGAGAGGCGACGCGGCTGTTGACGACTAGCGAAGCACGATTCGACGGCGGCGCCGCACGCCGCAAAAATCGCGACGCGGAAGCCGTCGCCGTAGCGGCGCACGCTGGCCGGACGGCGCGTCGAGACGGCGGCGCGCGCGGCCCGCCGGTCGGGTGGCGGCGCTCCGCACGGACCGTTGCCGCCGCTGCTGCCGCGCTGCGACCGACGGACGACGAACGAGAGAACCCCCGGGGGCGACGGACGCGCGCCCGAGAGACCGCCCCGAAGCGCCGCGCGCGATCGCCCGACGCCGCGCCCCTCCCCAGGCAAAGATGGGCGTCATCAAGAGCGGCAAGGTCGTCATCGTGCTCCAGGGCCGCTTCGCGGGCCACAAGGCCATCGTCGTCAAGGCCTACGACGAGGGCACGCCCGACAAGAAGTTTGCGCACGCGGTCGTCGCGGGCATCGACCGCTACCCGCGCAAGGTCACGCGGTCCATGTCCAAGGACAAGATCGTCAAGCGCACGAAGATGAAGCCCTTCCTCAAGGCCATCAACTACACCCACCTCATGCCCACGCGCTACGTCGTCGACCTCGACCTCAAGAAGATCGTCGAGGAGAACGGCCTCAAGGAGGGCCGATCCGAGGCGCGCAAGGCGATCAAGAAGGTCTTCGAGGAGCGGTACCACAACCAGTCCAGCGCGAAGAAGGAGAAGAAGGCCACGGGCGTCTCCTACTTCTACAAGAAGATGGCGTTCTAGGCTCGTGTCGTCCCTTCGTAACTTCGCGCCCCCTTAGTTCCCCGTCGTCGACCGGTCTGCGACCGCGCCGGGCGACTTGCCCCTTGACACGCACGGCCGCCGCGAGGTTACGTCTTCACGGCCACGCGGTCGCCTCTAGCGGTCGCCGCTAGGTTACGTCCTCCGGTACCCCCTCGTTGCGGTTCCGGACGACCTTGTTGTAGACCTTCTTGCCCATGACCTTCGCGAGGCCCTTGGCCAGGCGCCGCAGGTCGCCCGCGGAGCCGCGGGGCTCCCACGCGACGCCGAGGTGCCGCGCGGCGTCGGCGAGGGGCGCGAGCGCGTCGTCGTCGTCGGCGCCGCCGTCGTCGCGGAGCTGCTCGAGCGCGAGCACGAGCGGCGCGGCGAGCACCGGCGCGGGCGCCGGGCTCGTGCGCACGTAGTCCGCGTAGGCGCCAAGCGCGTCCGCGGCGCAGCCGAGGTCCAGGGGCCGCCGCAGGACCGCGCGGCCCGCCATGACGCCGTCGAGGCCGTCGTCGCGCGCGTCGCTGTCCCCGAAGGAGCCGATCCCGCCGTTGCGCGTCACGCGCAGCGCCGGGAAGTCGCGCGCGAGGCGCCGCGCAAAGTCGGGGTGGAGCGGCGGCCGGCAGCGGTTCGCGCCTGGGGCGAGGCCCGCCAAAATCGCCAGGCGGCAATGGACGACGACGTGGTCGAGGCAGCCCGAGCTCGACGTCTCGGCGACGAACGCGTGGAGCTCATCGTAGCGGGCCGGAGCCTCGTCGCTCCAGGTCTCGCGCACGCCGACGCGGCACTTCAGCGACACAGCGCACGACGGCGGCGCGGCGTCCCGCACGGCCTCGACCAAACGCCGCGTCGCCGCGGCGTCGCGCATGAGCGTCGCGCCGTAGTCGGCGCCGCCGCTCGCGATCGCCGGGCAGCCGGCGTTGATGTTGACCTCGCGCAGGTCGGTGCGGAGTCTGCACGCGCGCGTCGTCGCCGCGGCTAGAGCCCGAGGGTCGTCGCCGCCGAGCTGGAGCACCGGCGGCGCGTCGTCCGCCCCGCCGGCGACCAAGCGCGACGCCAGCGCGGCGTCGTCGCAGGCCAGCACGTCGGCGGCCTTCTCCATCTCCGTCCAGAGGGTCACGTCCGGCGCCAGCCTGCGCAGCAGGAAATTGAGATGGGCGTTGGTATAGGTCTGCATCGGCGCGACATGGTACTGCAGCGCGTGCGCGGCGACGGCGCAGAGCGCGACCGCTCGGGCCGCCACGGCCATCACGTATTGCAGCGCTGCGTCGCAGCGGTCGTGTCAAAGGCCGTGGAGCTCAAATTCTTGCAGCGCGGCGCCGCAGCAGTCGTCCCAAGTGCCGCAGAGCCATGGCCCATGCCTCTCTCGAATGTCAAGATGAAGGCAACGTGCCGCACACTTACCCCCTCAACCTAGGCCACGGACGCGCCGTCCGCCGCGTCGGCGACGACGGCCTCGCCGCCGACGGAGAGCGCGAAGTCGGCGACGACGACGCCGCCGCCGCTCGTCGTGAGCGCGGGCTGCGCGGTCTGCCACAGCTTCTTGTTGTTCATCTGGTTCGGCGTCGCCGGGGCCGCGTCCGGCAGCCCCGCGAAGGTCGCGCGGTCGCCGTTCTTCGCGCCCTCCGGCGCGCGGAGCAGCGCCGTCGCGCCGTCCGCGTCCGTGGAGCAGAGGAGCATGCCCGCGGACTTGAAGCCCGCCAAATTCCGCGGCTTCGTGTTCGAGAGCACGAGCACGCGCGCGCCCACGAGCTCCGCCGCGTCGCCGTAGTGGGCGCGGAGCCCCGCGCCGACGGTGCGCGCCTCGGCCTCGCCGCAGTCGACCCAGGTCTTGAAGAGCGCGTCCGCGCCCTCGTGCGGCTCCGCGGACGTCACCGTGCCGACGAGCAGCTCGAGCTTCGCCGCCGCCGCGAGCTCCGGCGGCAGGTCCGCCGTCGCGTCCGCGGCCTTCTTCTTCGGCGCCGCGCCGCCCTTCTGCTTCTTCGCGGACGCGCGCTTCTCGCCCGCGAACGTGTCCTTGAGCGGCGCGACGCGGTTGAGCACGAGCGCGGACGCGTCGAGCGCCCCGGGCGCCGCGGGGCTGCCCGGCGCGTCGGCGCAGAAGTAGCCCACGCGCTCGAGCTGGATCGCGCCCCGGTTCTCCAAGCCTTCGAGCGCGTCCTTCTCGAGCAGCGCGTCCTCGAGGACCTCGAGCGCCTTCGGGTTCAGCGCGTCGTCGCCCTCGCCGGGCGTCGCCGAGGCGAAGAGCTTGTCGTAGAGGCGGACCGTGACGGGCACGGCGTCGTCGGCGCGGAGCCAGTGGATGATGCCCTTGACGCGCGGGATCTCGGGGTCGCCGCGCGCGCCCGCGCGCGTGTCGAGCGACGCCGTGCACCGGAGCTCCTCGACGGCGCCGTCGGCGCCGCGCACGACGTCGTCGCAGGTCAACACATACGCGTAGCGCAGGCGCACGCGGCCGCCGGCGACGAGGCGGTTGAAGCCCGCGGGCGCGGCGCCGTCGGTCTCGGGATCGTGGAAGTCCGCGCGCTCGATGACGAGCGACGACCCGAAGCGCAGCTGCTCGCGCTTCCCCATGGCCTCGTCCTTCGGGTGCCGCGGCGCGTCCAACCGCTCGTCCTCGCCGTCCGCCGGCCAGTTCGTGACCGTGACCTTCAGCGGCCGCAGCACGCCCATCGCGCGCGGCGCGGACGCGTCCAGCACTTCCCGCACGGCGTCGTCGACGAGCTCCGGGTCGATGGAGCTGTCGGCCTTGGACACGCCGACGCGCTCGCAGAAGAGGCGCAGCGCCGCCGGCGGCACGCCCTTGCGGCGCAGCGCCGCGAGCGTCGGCAGCCGCGGGTCGTCCCAGCCGTCGACGGCCGCGTCCTCGACGAGCTTCGCGAGCTTGCGCTTCGACATGAGGGTGTGCGCCACGTTCAGCCGCGAGAACTCGATCTGCCGCGGCCGGTCGCCGCGCGGCTCGACCTCGTACTCCGGGTCCGGCGGCGCCTCGCGCGCGGCCGTCCGGTCCTCGAAGACGGCGCGGTAGACGCCCTCGACCCAGGCCGCGTCGCGCACCTCGGGGCAGCGGTCGACGACCCAGTCGTAGAGCGGCCGGTGGTCCTCGAACTCGAGCGTGCAGAGCGAGTGCGTGATGCCCTCCATCGAGTCGGAGACGGCGTGCGCGAAGTCGTACATGGGGTAGATGCGCCAGTCGTCCGCGGTCCGCGGGTGGGGCGTGCCGGCCTTGACGCGGTAGAGCGCCGGGTCCCGCAGATTCAAGTTCGGCGACGCCATGTCGATCTTGGCCCGCAGGACGGCCTCGCCCTCTTTGATCGCGCCGTTCCGCATGCGCTCGAGCAGCTCGAGGTTCTCCGCCGGGCTCCGGTCGCGGAAGGGCGAGTTCGAGCCGGGTTTCGTCAGCGTGCCCCGCGTCTCGCGCATGGCCTCGGCGGACTGCGAGTCGACGTACGCGTCGCCGCGCGCGACCAGCGCCTTCGCGGCCGCGTAGATGACGTCGAAGTAGTCGGACGCGTGGCGCACGTTGCCGTACCAGGGGTCGCGGTTGCCCGTCTGGGGGCCCGTGGCCTCGCCGACGAGCCAGCGCACATCTTCCAGGATCGCGTCGCCGAAGACCCGGTTCTCCTTCTCGGGGTTCGTGTCGTCCAAGCGCATGTGCGCGCGGCCGCCGTAGTCCGACGCGAGGCCGAAGTTGACGCACATGGACTTGGCGTGGCCCAGGTGCAGGAACCCGTTGGGCTCCGGCGGGAAGCGCGTCACGATCTGGCCGTGCTTCTTCTCCTTGAGGTCCGTCTCGATGATCTCGCGGATGAAGTGGCGCCGGCCGAGGCTTTCACCGTTGTCGGCGGCCTTGTCCTCCGCGCGGACCGCCGAAGACGGTCGCAGCGGTGGCGCGGCGCGCTGCAGCGCGGTCGCGCACGACAGCAAGGTGAGGAGTCGAGCGCCTGAGGTCATCGCGTCGAGCAAAGACGCAACTTCACCCGCCGGGCAAGAGCCGCCCGGGATAAAAGCCGCGGTACCTTACGTCGGGTTCCTCGCTCGCGGGCCCGGCACCCACCCACCCACCTCCTGGCCAATCAGGGACCTCCTTTTCGTTAGTTACCTTCAAGTTGCCGCTCGCAAAATCGCCACAACGCGCGCGCGATTCCGCGCGCGCGCTCTCTCGTGTCGCGGAGCTGCGCGGTCCAATCTCCGCTTTGCGATGAGAACGGGCACCCGCGCCGCTCGACTCGCCGCGGCGAGAAGCGGCGCTTGCCCAGAGACGACGATAGCGGCGTGAAGACACGTCGCCGAGGCGCCGCGCGACCGTCAGCCGCGGCACTGCGGGTCATGACCGCGCGCGCGCGCGCGCGTTACAAGTACCCATCAGTACACTGTAGATTTTCCAAATCAGGCCTCCGGACCCACCCACCCACCTCGTCGTGAGGTTCGAATCTTTTGTCCGTGGGCGGCTCGTGCGCCGGGGTAAAATCGATCGAATGTCCTCCGTGCTTCATGATCGACATTGTGCAGCGTTTTGGCGGCGCGCTGCGATGGGATGGCCGTCTTTGAGGGCCCGCCGCTCCGCGAATATGCAGAATCGTGCAACGATCCCAGCAGCTGCGAGGGCCGCAAGGACGAGGGTGACGCACATGCGAAGACGCGACGCTCATACGACCGCGTGGCGACTGGAACGGGGAGGTAGAGTGGGTGGGAAGGGACGCGCTGCCCCCTCGCGACCCCTCTAGCATAGTTTTCGAGCCATCGCAGCAGCGGAGATCGTTCGTCATCAACCCCGTCGCGTCCAGCGCGGCAGGTTCCTCGGGGGGGGGCGAAATCGTCGAGTCCACCGAGCCGAGCTCCGGAGGCGTTTCGTCCCGACGGTGGCCGTGGGGTGTCTGGGGCTGCCCCTGCCGCCGGACATGGTCTTGATCCGTTCCATACCATGATAGGGTCGGGTCCAGACCATGTCCGGCGGCGAGGCCCCACCCCAGGCGCCTCGGGCTGCCCCTCGGGACCTCGAGCCAACCGACGTCGGGTTCGACGGCTTCCGCATGGTCGCTGCCGTCGGAACCCACTAAGGATCCGCGTCATAGCAGGTCGACGCCCGAACGAAGGCATCCCCGACGCTGCGGAGGCACCTCCCCAGTGCCGATCCCGGCGCATAACGCTCAGACGCCATCGCGAGCGCCGCGAAGAAAAGCCCATGCAACGACGGCTTTTGCCGCACTGTGCCGCTTCAACAGGGGACAAACTCAGAGTAATACCCCGGCGGGTCACCTTCGCCAATGTTGCATGGTGAATCGATCTTGCAGTCAGCCTACGGCTTCCGCGTGCGTAGAAGAGCCCGGTCATATTCCCTCTGCAACCACCCTTACGCCGACGCCTCGGCGCACATGGCCGCGCAGAGGTCCTTGGCGAGCTTGCCGTCGATCTCCTCGCGGTGGTCCTTCATCAACGCGCCCATCATCTTGCCCGGGTTGAGCGGCGCGCCGTCGGCGGCGTCGATGAGCGCCTGGATCCACTTGCGCGTCGTCGCCTCGTCCGCGAGCGCCGGGAGCCATTGCTCGATGACCGCGAGCTCCGCCTCCTCCGCCGCGAGCCGCTCCGCGCCGGACTCGCCCGCGTCCCTGTACATGGCGATGCTCTCCTGGCGCATCTTCGCCATCTTCCGCAGCACCTTGACGGCCGCGTCGTCGCCGAGCGCGTCGAGGCCCTCGTCCTTGGCGCCGGCCGCGAGCGCCGTCTTGATGAGTCGAAGCGTCGACGTGAGCACCTTGTCGCGGGCCTTCATCGCCGCCTTGACGCGCGCGTCGACGTCGGCGGCGATGGACAGCGGCTCCGCCTCGACGGGCGCCGCGGGCGGCGCCTCGACGGCCGCCGGCGCCGGCGCGGCGGCCGCCGCCTCGGCGCCGGCGCCGTCCCCGAGGTCGACGCTCTGCGCGTCGCCGTCGTAGAAGGCGTCCAGATCCACGGGCTTCGAGAGGTCCACGTTCTGCTCCGCGAGCTCGTCCATGAGGTCGTCGTCGTCGTCGTCGAGGTAGCCGATGTCGTAGCCCATGAGCTGCGCCTTGTGGCGAATCTTCACGAGGAGGTGCTTGCCCATCTTGAGGCCGACGACGTCCATGTAGCGGTGGCCCATGACCTCCGCGAGGTCCTCGATGGTGTCCGCGGAGTAGACGAGCCTGTTGACCGTCGACCGGATCTTGCGGTCCCTGATGCTGTAGCGCATGGTCAGCGACGGCGCCGCGGCGCGCCGGGCGCGCGCCGGCAGGCGCGCGCGGTGCGGCGCGAAGGCGAAGGCGCACGGCGCGAGGAGGAGCGCGATCATGAAACCCAGTGGCGACCGATGCATGTTATTGGCGGGTGGCGAACCACTCGAGCAGAGCATGCCCTTGCGATATTGCAATGGTGCAACGAGTTCACTGTTAATTCACCGTTCGAAGGCTGCACCGTTTGCCGGGCTGCAAACACGATGGAGAAGCCCATGACACATATCCCGCCGCCCTTGGCGCTCCCGAAGCCGCCCACGAGACGACGCGCACCGCCGGCGGTGCCGCAGACCGACGCGGCGACGCTCGCGGACCAGCGGCGGCGCCTGCGAAGGGAGAAGGCCCAGCTCACGAAGGAACGGGCCGAGCTGGCCCAGAAGGCCCGCGAGGCCACGAGCCAGCTCCGCGTCGCCAAGGCCGCGTGCAAGGCGCGCGAGCTCCACCTCTCGGCCAGCGCCGCGACGAAGGCGCTCGGCGCCGCGCCCCGCGCGGCGCTCGGGCGCCCGTCGTCCGACGCCGTCGCGCTCGAGCTCAAGACGCTCCAGAGGGAGCTCGCCGAGGGCACGAAACACGCCCTCGCCTGCGAGCGCCGCGCCGCACTCACGAAGGAGCGCCTCGAAGTCGCCCGCGAGAAGCTCGCGGCGCTGCCCGCGTGCGACGTGGACCGCGAGGACGAGCTCGCGCGGCGCGAGCGGGACGCGGACGCGACGCGGCTCCGCTTCGAGCGCGAGAGGCTCGACCGCTGCGCTTCCGCCGTGCGCGACCTCGCGGAGCTCGAGCACGCGCTCCGGCGGGCGCGGGCCGACCGGTCCGACGTCGTCGCGCAGCTCGACGACGCGGCCGAGGCGACGAGCCGCTGGAAGCGGCAGGTCGGCGCGGCGGCCGCGCGCGCGCGGCCCCTGCGGGCGCGCGTCCAGGCTTTGAAGGAGGAACTGCGGGACTTTGCCAACGGCGTCGGCGAGGCGCCCCGCGACGCCGCCGAGGCGCTCTTCGACGTCGCCGGCGAGCCGGAACTGGAGGTAGAAAAGGCGGACGCGCTCCTGGACCTCGCGTGGGTCGACCTCGCGCCGTTGCCGGCCTTCGACGGGCCGGACCCGGCGCCGGACGGCGACGACGGCGACGAAATGGCGTTTCTTCGCACGTTCGGGCCCCCCGCGGTCGCGCGCGAGGCCGCGGGCCGCGGCGCGGCCGCGCGGCGCTTCGGCGAGCGCGGCGCCGTCGACCGCGAGGGCTTCGTCCTGCTCTTCGAGGAGGCGCTGGCCTTCGGCGCCATTCGGCCCGACGCCGCCGTCCCGGAGGCCGCGGCCGTCGCGTCGCCCGAGCCGTCGCCCGAGCGCCGCGCCGCGTCGCCCGCGGCGTCGCGGGTGCCGCCCATCGTCCTCGCGCCCGCGCCCGCGCCGCGCGACGAGGCCCCGCGGTCGCCGGACTACGACGCCGAGGCCCCGCGGTCGCCGGACTACGACGCCGAGGCCCCGCGGTCGCCGGACTACGAGGACGACTACGACGCCTTCGAGGACGAGGACTTCGACGCGGAGGAGGCGTAAGAACGGGCAGCTCGAACAGGAGAACGGATTAGACACGAAAGAGACAAGACTAGCGGTGCTGGGCCGGCGGCGCCGCGGCGAGTTGCCGTCGCGCCTCCGCGTCGCCGGCTTCGAAGGCCGCGCGGACGTCGGCCGCGGGCACGTGGAGCTGCGCCGCCAGCGCCGCGAGCTGCGCGGGCGCCCAGTCGGCCCGGGCGCCGACGTCGGCGCTCCGCGCCCGCTCCCGGCCCGGCTCGTGGGGCAGGCGCCGGCGCCAGGCCGACGCGCGCGTCGCCATCTCGCGGAGGATCTCGCGCTGCTGCGGGCTCGGCTCCGTCTCCTCGTCGCCCTGCGTGTGCCACACGGGGAAGCCAAAGTCGGGCCCCGCGCCCCGGCCCCGCGACTTGGACGCCGCGGCGTAGATGGACGAGCCGCGGCGCACGAAGGGGTGGTCCAGCAGCGTCGCCGCGTCGGGCCGGTCCGCGGCGTCGCGCGCGAGGCACGCGTTCGTGATGTCGACGAGGTGCGCGTCGTGGCCGTCCGCGGCGTCGAGCTGCGGCGGGTCGCCGTCGCAGATCGCGCGGACGACGGCCCAGTAGCCGTCGGACTGCGGCAGCGGGATCTTCCCCAGCGCGCACGTCGCGAAGCAGAGGCCGATGGACCAGACGTCGGAGCCGTACGAGTAGTCGCCGCCGACGATGCGCTCCGGCGCCATGAAGGCTAAGGTGCCCACGTAGGTCTGGGCGATGCCCAGCGTGTTGTCCACGGCCCGCGACACGCCAAAGTCGCTCAGCTTCACGCGCCACTTCCAGTCCAGCAGCACGTTCGACGGCTTCAGGTCGCGGTGCAGCTGGCGGTCCGCGTGGAGCGCCGCGAGGCCCGCGATGCAGCCGTGGGCGACGACCGCCAGGGCGTCGTCCTCCAGGGGCCGCCAGGACCGCGCCTCCATGACGTCGTGGACGGACCGCGCGTCCATGTACTCCAAAACCGCGCAGACGCAGCCCGCCGCGGGGTTCGTGAACGCGCCGTGGAACGCGACGATGTGGGCGCGTAGAGCTCTTTCGCTCCGCGAGTCGCGCACGGCGGAGAAGTCCTCGGCGTCCTGGCCGCCCATGGCGCCGGTCGCCTCCTCCGCGGCCTCGCCCAAAGGCACCGTCGACAGCTGGTGGAGCGCCGCGAGCTCCCGCAACAACTGGCGCCGCCGCGCGTCGTCGTGCACGGCCACGAGCTTCACGGCGACGACGGTCAGCGTCGGCGCGTGCAGGGCGCGCCGCACGGACGCGCAGGCGCCGCGGCCGAGCTCGCCGAAGAGGATGAGGTCGTCCGCGTCGATCGCCGTCACGGACGACGGCGGCGCGATCGCGCCGCCGCCGCCCCGCGTCCGGGAGAGCGTCGACGCGACGTCGCTCTGGCCGTTCTGCATGGTCTTGATCTCCAGGCCCCGCCGCCAGTCGATGAGCGTGCCGCCCTCGCTGAAGTCGTACGACTCCTCGTTCGCGTCCGCGGCGTCGCGATCGACGGCCGCGAGGTCCATCTGCAGCCCCAGGTCCTGGCCGAGCACGCCCAGCAGCGCCCGCCCGTTGCGCGGCGACGTCTCCATGTGCTCCTCGACGCCGTCGGACGCCGTCCGCGCGACGCCCGGCGGCGCGCCGACGGCCGCGCGCCGATCTTCCAGCTGCCGCGCGGGGCGGTGGCCGACGACGGGCGCGGAGTTGGACCGGAGCATCTTCGTGCGGTTCGGCGACACCATGTCCGGCGCGTCGTCGGGCGCGGCGACGTCGCCGCCGATGGGCGGCGGCCGCGGCGCGCCGCCGCCGCCGTTCCTCGCCGCGTCGCCGGGGTCGCAGGCCAAGACTTCGAGCTTCGCCCGCGACGGCTCCGACTCCCGCGACCAGACGGGCCGCCGCTTCACGCCCTTGCCCTGCTCCGCGGGCAGCTCGCCGCCCCGGTCCTCCTCCGGCGGCGGCCGGTCGCCGCGCTCGGGCGTCGTCGACAGCGGCGGGAGCGCCGCGTTCGGCGCGACGTGGCCGGGGGCCCGGATCGGCGCCGCCTGGCGCCGGCGCCGCGGGCCCTTGTTCGCGACGACGCGCCCGAGCTTGCCCCGGCCGCGCCTAGCGTCGAGGGCGCCGAGCGCCTCCCCGGGGAAGGGCGGCGCGCCGCCGCCCGCGGGCGCGAGCGACGACGCCGAGCCCGCGCGCGCGCGGAGCGCCGTCAGCTCGCGCAGCAGCAGCCGCTGGTGCACGGCCAGGGTCACGCCGAGCACGCGCTCCACGTCGCTGCGGCTCCGGATGCGCAGCAGCGCCCGGCCGTCGACGCCCGGCCGCCCGCCCGGCGCGGCCGCGCCGCCGCGGCCGCCGTACGAGCTCAGCGCCTCGATGCCCCGGAGCCACCGCGCGACGTCGCCCGGCGCCCAGGCCTCGACGCGCGCGTCGCTCGGCATCGCGACGTCGGCGTCGCCCGGCGACGGCGCCCCCTCGGGCACCGCGCCCTCGAACGAGCCGCAGACCTCCATCGCCGCGACGGACCCGCAGAGCCACCGCTCCTGGCCGCCGGAGCCCGACGGCGTCGTCCGCGCGCCCTGCGTCTCGTCCTCGCTCACCTCCTCCTCGACGGGCGGCTCGAGGCCCTCCAGCGTCAGGCTGCAGGCGCCGCGCGCCGCGCGGCCGACGCCGCCGCCGCGGAACGCCGCGACGGCGGCCAGCAAATCCCGCAGCGGCACCTCGGCGCTCAGCGCCTCGCGGCCCTCGCGCAGCGTGATCATGACGGGCCGGTCGCCGTCGTCGTCGGGCGCGCTGTGGTGCTCCGGCCCCAGCGGGAAGCCGCCGGGCGACACGTCGCTGCTCGGCGACGGCTCGGGCGTCGGCAGCGTCGCCTGGCGCGCGAGGCTCAGGCGGGCCGGCGCCTGCCGCTGTTGGGGGGCCGGGGCGTTCCCGATGGACGCCACCATGACCACGGGCGGCGCGTTCGACGCCTCCGCCATGACCGATGCGACCGGTGCCGGGCAGCTTCGTGCGCCGCGAGCACCTGGGAAACGCTCTCTCTCTCATCGTGAAGGGAAAGGAAGACACGATGGCATGATGATGGGCGGCAGCCTGATAGCTGTAGCGCTCACGCTCGGCCTCGCACGGGCGGATCCGCGCACGGCCTTCGCGCTCGTCGGGCCGGCGACGCACGTGACGCGCGAGTCCCTCGAGCGCTACCGACGCTTCGTCGTCGACGCCTTTGGCGGCGTGGGTGAGACGTTCGTGCTCCTCAAGGCCTTGGACGCCGAGGGCCGGCCCTGGGCCCACGACGCCGTCGCGACGCTCCGCCGCGACGTCGCGCAAACGCTGAAACCCGTCGTCGCCGACGTGAACGCGAGCGACGCGGCCTTTGCGCGCTTTCAAGGTTCGCGCGCGGCGATCGCCGCGCGCCTCTGGCCCGACGACGCGCTCATGTACCGGGGCCGGGGCCGGCGGCAGACCGAGGACCGCATCGCCTACTGGTGGGGCGCCCTGGACCTCGCCTGGCGCGCCGTCGCCGCGCGCGAGGCGGTCGCATCGAAGCGGTTCGACTTCGTCGTCGTCGCCCGGAGCGACCTGCTGTTCCACGGGCCCCTGCGCCACGTCTCGACGGCGGACCCGAGGTACTGGTACAGCGCGCCGGACCCGCCCGACGCCTTTTGGACTTTTGCGAGGGACGTCGCGGCGGAGGTCCTGCCGACGGTCTCGCGGCTCGAGCGCTGCGGCGGCGGGAATTCGACGTGCGACGACTTCTGCGACGCCGCCGCGGGTTTCGTGTTCCTCATGTTCTCCTGGTTTCTGCCGTGCTTCTGGACGGCGCGCTTCTACGACGACCGGGGCCTGCGGCTCGTCATCGACCCGACGATCAGAGCGTCCTGGCGCCACGCCGTCGGCGCGCCTCGCGACGTCTCCCAGTGCGCGAGCAAGATCGTCTGCGCCTCGGCGGCGCCCGGCGCCTACGACGCGCGCGTCCACCCGCGGCCCGCGGCGGACTTCGCCTGCGGGCCCTGGCGGTCGACGCGCTGCGACGGGCGGCCCCACGGCGGCGACCGGCGCCTCTGCGAGTCGCGGGACGCGTGCCGCGCGACGGCGTTTTCGGGGTGCGGCGTGGCGCCCTGGCGCTGCGGTTCTTCTGCTTCGAGGCGGTAACGATTAGTCCATGTCGTCTATCATGTCGACGTTGGGCGTGGGCGCGGCCGGCGGCGGTACCGGCGCGACGGGCGGAACGGGCGCGGCCGGCGCGGGCACCGGCGCGACGGGCGGCACGGGCGCGACGGCCGGCGGCGCGCCGAGGATCACGGGCGCCGCCGGCGCGCAGGGCATGCAGAGCGGCGCGGCCTGGCCCAGCAGCGCGGGCGCCGCCGCGCCGAGGACCGGCGGCGCGGCGCCGAGCACCGGCGGCGCCGCGGGCGCGTCGGGCGCCGCGGCCGGCGCCGCGGGCGGCGGCGGGAGCGCGAGGCTGTCGAAGCGCCGGTCGTCGAAGAGGTCCTGGGGGTAGTAGCCCGCGATGATCGTCTTGCCGTCGAACGCGCGGCCCTCGAAGGCCTCGCGCGCGGCCTGCGCGAAGAAGGCGTCGCCGAAGGCCACGAAGACGGACCCCTGGCCCGGCGCGGGCCGCGTCGTGCCGGGCTCGGGCCGCGGGATCTCGACGTTCTCGACGTCGCCGTAGGAGCCGCACTCCTGCAGCACGTCGTCGACGACGTCCGCGTACGCTTCGTCGTCGATGAGATCCGCGTCGGTGACCATGTGGCGCAGCTGCAGGACCTTGGACGGCACGGTCGGGTCGTGGGGCGGCGGCCGGGGCCGCTCGCCGGACCGCGTCGGCTGCAGCAGCGTCGCGACCATCTGCGGCGGCAGCCGCTGGACGACCAACTTCAGGTCGCCGAGCTTCGCGTTGTTCAGCCCCGCGATGGCGTCGGACGACGCCGCGTCGACGGCGTAGCGGAAGACGGCGGCGCCCTTCACGTTGCCGTCAAAGTCCTTGAGGATGTTCAGCTCCGCGAGCTTCCCGAACGGCGTCAAAATCTTCTTGACGTCCGCCTCGTCGAGGTGCTTCGGCAGATTGCTCACCATCAACACGTTCGACGTCATCATGAGCGGGTTCAGGCCCGGCGCCGCGTTGCCGAAGGAGCCCAGGCCCGTCGGGTTGCCCGTGCCGTAGGACCGCGGCCGCCCGAGCTTCAGCGCCGACTCGTTCCAGAGGATCCCGTCGAGCGCGATGGCCTTCTCCGCGGCGTCGACGGAGACGAGCTCGAGGAACGCCGTCTCGCCGTCCTCGGCGAGCCAGGCGTTGGCGACGTCGCGGGGGCCCGTGGGAGAGCGGCCCGTCGCCTCCGCTAGAGCGGAGTCGACGAACGTCGCGACCTGCCCCGCCGTCGCGCCCAGGGGCAGCCGCGTCGCGTAGACCTCCCGCTTCGGCTTGGACGCCTGGGCCGTCGCCGACGCCGCCTGGGCCGCCGCGGACGCGGGCGTCGCCGCGGGCACCGCGGCTACCGTCGAGAGGCCCATGCCCGCGCCCCCTAAAAAGTTGCCCGTGCCCAGGCCCGGCGCGGGCCCCGCGGCGCCGAGCTGGCCGCCGATGGCCGCGAGCATGGGCGCGCCGCCGGAGCCGATCTGCGCGACGCCCGCGGCCATGTTCATGCCCGCCATCTGCTTCATGATCTGCAGCTTGCTCAGCGCCTCCTGCACGCTCAGGTCCGGGTTCTCCTTCATGATCACCGTCAGCGACAGGCCGCTCGGCTGGGGCTCGTCGTCGGCGTCGTCGGCCTTCTTCCGCCGCTTCCCGCCGCTCTCCTCGGGCTTCGCGTCGGGGTAGGGGTTCTCGCGCCGCTTGCGCCGCGACCGGTCCCGCGACCGCGACCGCCGCCGCCGGCCCCGCGACTCGCTGCGGTCGCGGCGGCGCCGGTCGCTGCCCATCGTTCTCGTTGTTGCGGCGGCGGCGCGGCTAGTGGTCTGCGCGCAACGAGGCTCGCGGCGGCGCGCCGGCGACTCCGTCCACTGAGCGGCACCGTGGCTGCACCGTCGCGGCAATCATGCTTCAACCCTGAGCAATGCCGAGTCGGTACGTATACGCGGACCCACCCACGCGCGCTCTTAAAAGACCGCCCGTCGGGCGTGGAACTCGCTTCTTTCGTCGGGCGTGGGACTCGCTTCTTTGAATTTCCTTTTACACAAAAAAGACCTCGGCCGCGCGTCGCGCGCGGCCTACATGATGGAGCACGCGCCCGAGGCGGGCACCGCGAGCTTCCGCGTCTCGAAGAGGGGCAGCTCGCGGCCCGGGCTGCCCTTCTTCGCGGCGGCGGCCCGCGCCTCCTCGCGGCGCTTCTGGTCGATGAGGAGCCCCATCCACACGGAGATCGTCGCGAAGATCTCGTCGCGGTTGATCGCGCCGTCGTGGTTCTTGTCGCAGTTGTGGATGATGAACTCGACGTCGCCGTCCGTGACGTCGACGTCGAGGACGTTCTCCGACGGCGTGTTGCCCGTGATGTTCTTCCACTTGGCGTTCAACGAGCGCTCGGAGAGGATGCCCTTGTCCTTGGCGCGCTGGAGGCTCTGGAGCTTGAAGGTCCGGGCGACGGCCTCCTCCGTGCCCTCGTCGCCCTTGACGACCAGGGTGCCCTCGACGACGGCGCGCAGGAAGCCCTTGATCTCCGGGGGCTCGACCTCGAGCTTGCCGCTCTTGTCGTAGTCGAAGCGGTCGAAGACCTCGTCGAGGAACTTGGACCGTTTCAGGTACTCGCGGTAGCGCGCGACGACGCGGCGGACCTTCCAGCGCGGGACGCCCTCCTCGATCTCGCCGCCGTGGGGCGTCTCCGGCTCGGCCGGGTCGTGCTCCTTGTGCAGGGCCTCGGCGATGGTCCAGACGTAGTCCATGGCGACGTCCGTCGGCGCGGCCTCGGGCTCGAGCTCCGCGAGCAGCTTCCGCAGCTCCTCGCGCTGGAGGCTCAGGTCGCGGTTCACGTCGTACTTCTCGAGCCACATGTCGACCTCCTCCTCGTCGCGCATCCGCTTCTCCTCCTTGAGCTTCTGGAGCTCGAGGCGGCGCTTCTTCGCCGCCCGCTTCGCGCGGGCGATTGCCATGGTCGCAGCCATCGCGCTGACCGTAGTACGGTTGGGTTGCGGTGGGGGCGCTCGAGCGGGTGGCTCGAGTCCGGTGCTCTCGTGTCGAGAGCTTGTTGTTTGCGATTTGGGGCTGCCATGTCTCAACGCGACAGTGGCCATTGGCGACAACACTGGCATCAACACTCCACGGCTGCTGACCTGGCCAGGCCTGCCAGTGTCGACGCGCCTCTACAAGGTCGACTGAGTCCGCCTCGTCGCTTTGTGATCACCGACGATGCCGCGCGCCCTAGCCCTCCTCGCCGTCGGCGCCGGCGCCTTCGCGCCGGCCCAGCTCGCCTCGCACCCGCGCGACGTGCGCGTCGCCGGCATCTTCGACGGCGTCAAGGACGCCTTCAGCCAGGATGCCGGCATCCTCGACGAGGACCGCGTGACGCCCTTCGACCGCTGGCTGGGCATCGACGTGCGCTCCGAGGATTCGAAAGCGGAGGAATTCGGCGTGCCCGACGACTTCGTCGACTCCATGGACGAGGCCAACTACGTCTCCGTGAAACTCTCGAAGCCCATGGGCATCGTCTTCGAGGAGAACGACCCGTCGACGGGCGGCGTCTTCGTCGCGTCGCTCGCCGACGGCGGCGCGGCGGCGGAGAACGCGTCCGTGAAGCCCGGCGACCAGCTCGTCGCCGTCGGGGACGCGCTCTGCAAGGGCAAGGACTTCGACGCGTGCCTCGGCTTGATCCAGGCGTCCGACGCGGAGCTCACGTCCCTCGTCTTCTTCCGGGGCGGGCCCTCGAGCCTCTACGGCAACCTCGGCGCCTCCGACGGCTGGATGACCGAGTTCATGGAGAAGAAGAACGGCGGGCACTAGGGGGCCTCGCGCGCCGCTCGAGACGGGAGGCCGCGCGGGGGCGTAACCGCGGTCCATCGCTCTCTCGAGTCGCCGTGTGTGCGGGCCCACACAGCCGGGCTGTGTGAACCAAGCGTCGCCCCGACTCGCGTTACGGCCCCTAGTCCATCGACACGGTGCAGAGGGAGCTCGCGAAGCGCGCCTTGTTCGCGTCGTCGCCCTTGTTGAGCCGGTCCGAGTAGGACACGTAGACGAGCGTGTTCGTCGCCTTGTCGACGACGCGGCGCACCTTGAGCGTCTTGAAGAGCAGCGACTTGGCCTCGGTGACGACGTCCTCGCCCTCGGGCGACGTGTCGACGTTCGCCGCCATCTTCACCTCCGCGCGGCGCGCGCACGCGAGGCCGGACTGGGACGGGTCGCTGAAGAAGTCCTTCTGCAGGCGCTCCGTCACGGGCCGCTCGAAGTCGGACACGTAGAGCGTGACGCCCTCGACCTTCGGGTCCGAGAACGCGTCGATGATGAGCTTGTCCTTGAAGACGAGCCCCGACGCGGAGATGCTGGCGACGGTTCTCTTGCCCTCGGCGTGCGCCGGCGGCGATGCTACAGTCGACACGCAGCCGAGGGCGAGCAGCGCCGGAGCGGCGGCGCGTAGAGCCGCCTTGGCGAGCGCGGCAGCGGGCGCGGGAGTGTGTGCGCGCGGCGGCGACGGCGCGCGCAGGGCGGCGGCGGTGCCGAACAAGAGCAGCGCGGCTTTGATGTTGGTCGTCCGCATTGCGTTTGCAGCAACGAGCTCGAGAGATCAACAGGGTTCACCGAGACGTCAATCGGCACGGGCTGCCTCAAGGGTGAGGACTTCTGGAAACGCGGAGGTAGCCCCCGGCGGCTGCCGCCACAACTGACAAGAATGCCTCTGTCGGACTTCAACCTGCCGAACCGCATCATCGCGGAGATGATGGCCCAGGAGCACCAGGAGAAGTGCCAGCAGTACCTCAAGGACAACCCGCCGCCGCCGCCGCCGCCGCTCGTGCCGACGGCGGACCGCATGGCGGCGCTCCACAAGAAGATCCCCTGCGAGCCCGAGGGTCCCCTGGAGTGCGACGAGCTGCGGGCCATGTGCAAAGCCGTGAAGATGGACTTCACGTCCGTCGGGGACACGATGGACATGCTCGACGCGCTCCTCGACTACGTCGCGGCCGTCGCGCCGGTGCTGGCCGAGGCGAAGAGCGTCAAGCTGACGGGCGACTGCGCGACGGACGTCGGCGCGCTCTGCGCCGCGTACGACGTGCCCTACGCGAAGCTCGACGACGCGCTCGTGGAGCTCCTCGGCGCGCTCGGCTCGGACTTCACGGACGAGAAGAAGCGGGCCGTCATGGCCAAGTGCGAGGACAAGAACATGACGCGGGTCATGAAGGAGATCGGCAAGACCTACCGCTTCAAGGCGACGACGCCCTGCTTCCGCGAGACGACGAAGACGGAGGTCACGTGGAAGGTCCGGCTCACGGAGGCGGAGCTCGAGAAGCTCATGAAGGAGCAGGAGGAGGCCGACGACGAGGACGGCCAGGAGTAAGGCGGGGTGCGACGGGAGTTCTCGGGGCGCGACTGCGAGAGTGTTACGCCTCGAAGGCCCCGTCGGCGCCGACCTCGCGGACCTCGCCGGGCGGGAGCGGCGGCGCGGCGTCGCCCATCCGCGCGCGGACGTTCGCGCGCGCGAGCTTCCGGAGCTCGGCGTCGGGCACCTGGGGCTCGCTCTGCATCTCCGCGGCCGTCTTGATGTTGTCGAGGCCCATGCCCGGGGGCATGCCGCCCGGCATGCCGCCCATGCCCGGCAAGCCGCCCGGGAACGCGTCCGCGAGGTCCGGCCGCACGTTCTTGAGCAGCTTCTCGATGTCGACCATCTGGGGCCCCGCGCCGGGCGCCTCGTTCAGCGCGCGCGCGACGGCCTCGGCGCCGCCGCGCGCGCGGTTGTCGACGCGGAGCCGGTGGAGCTCCGCCTGCACCGCCGGGTCCTCGCTCGTCTCGCGCGCGCACTTCTTCTTCAGGGAGCGCAGCGCCGGGAGCTCGCCGTCCAAAGCGAGGCCCGCGTCCGCGGCGGCCTCGGCCGCCGCGTAGTCGCCGAGGCCCCAGAGCGCCTGGCCCACGCGGCACCGCGCCTTCGCCCAGGCCGGGTCCAGGCGCGCGGCGGTCTCGGCGTCTCGCAGGGCGCCGCGGTAGCTGTGGAGCTGGGCCCGGCACGCGGACCGGTTCGCGTGGAGTTTGGCGTCCGCGGCGTCCTCGGCCAAAGCGAGCGTGTAGTGCCGCTCGGCCTCGTCGTATTTTTTGGCGCCGTAGGCCGCGTCGCCCTCGGCCTTGTGGGCCTGCGCCGCGGTTTCGTCGCGCAGAGCCGCGTCCGTCGCGTAGGGCAGATCCCCGAACGCCTCCGGCGGCGCCGGCCGGTGCGACGGGTCGTCCGCGAGCTTCGCGAGGTTCGCGCGGCACGTGCTCAGGGACCCGTCGAGCGCGAGCGCGCGCCGGCAGGCGACCTCCGACTCGAGCTTGTAGGCCGCGGCCTCGTCGCGCGCCGACTTGGAGAAGCACGTCTCGCGCGGCGTCTTTTGCGTCATCGACCGCGCCGCGCCGACCTCGTCGTAGTCGTCGCGCTCCCAGGCGCAGTCGACGACGTGCGCCGCCAGGGAGAGGCAGGCGCTCGCGAGGCGCGCGTGGCCCTTGCCCCAGGCCGGCGCCAGCGTCGTCGCCTTGCGGCCATCGGTGACGCCGCATTGCAGCCAGCCGACCTTCTCGGGGCCCCAGAGGCTCGCGGCGAGCTTCTCGCAGCAGGCCGCGCGATTGCCGTAGAGCTTCTCATTCTCCGGGTCCTGCTTGATGGCGAGACCGTATTTCGTCGCCGCCTCGCCGTACTTGGCCTTGCGGAAGAGCGCGTCGGCCTCGGCCTTGGTGCTCGCCGCCATCGGTTTATGCGTTCGCAGCGGTCGACGCGCTGTCTTGCTCTCTATCGATTCCGGCGCTCACAGAGTAGCCTCGCCGAGCTCGCCCATGCTTGCCACCTTCACCACCACTGCATGTTGAACGTCGAGGCACTTGCAGGCCAAAATTGTGCCCAGTGCGCGGAACGATGGATTGCGTCTTGGCCGCCTTAAGCGGCCTCTGAGGCCGCGGCCTCCATCTCGCGGCGCGGTCGAGCCATGCGCGCCGCGACGCAGCCGCCCGTCGTCCGGCAGCGTTCCTAGATGCGGCTCCGCCGCATCGTCCTCGCGGTGCTGGCCGGCGCGCCGGCCGCCGTCGCCGAGGACTGCGCCGACAGCTTCGGGTCCTGCGCGTCCTACATCACCGGCTCCGGCGGCGTCGCGTGCACTGCTCTCTTCTGCGACACGTGCGCGCAGGCGGGCTACTGCGACCTCTCGTGCGGATTCTGCGGCCCGCCGACGGCGGCGCCGAGCGCCGCGCCGACGTCGGCGCCGAGCGCCGCGCCGGCGCCGACGGCGGCCGTCGTGGCCGTGACCGACGACTGCGCCGACAGCTTCGGGTCCTGCGCGTCCTACATCACCGGCTCCGGCGGCGTCGCGTGCACTGCTCTCTTCTGCGACACGTGCTCCCAGGCGGGCTACTGCGATCTTTCCTGCGGCATCTGCCTCGTGAGCGCCGCGCCCACGCGGCGGCCGTCCGTGGCACCCGGCAACCCGACGGCGGCGCCCGTGCCACGCTCGACGCCCGCGCCGACGGCGGCGCCGACGCCCGCGCCGACGACCGCGGGGCCGACGCCCGCGCCGACGACCGCGGGGCCGACGCCCGCGCCGACGACCGCGGGGCCGACGACCGCGGGGCCGACGCCCGCGCCGACGGCGTACGCTCAGGTGACCGACGACTGCGCCGACGTCTTCGCGTCGTGCGCCGAGTACATCGACGGTTCGGGTGGGAATTCCTGCGAGACGGAGTTCTGCGATACGTGTTCGCAGGCGGGCTACTGCGATCTTTCCTGCGGCTTCTGTCTCGTGAGCGCCGCGCCGACGCGGCGGCCGTCCGTGGCGCCGGGGAACCCGACGGCCGCGCCCGTGCTCAGACCGACGCCCGCGCCGACCGCGCAGACGCCCGCGCCCAGCCCTCGGCCGCCGTCGCCGTCGCCGACCGCGTATCCCGGCAATCCGACGGCGGCTCCGAGACCGACGGCGTCGCCGACCGCCGACGAGTGTTTTGACGTCTTCGCGTCGTGCGTGGAATACATCGACGGATCGGGCGGGAACTCCTGCGAGACGGAATTCTGCGAGACGTGCTCCCAGGCGGGCTACTGCGATCTTTCCTGCGGCATCTGCCAGGTGAGCGCCGCGCCCACGACGCGCCCGTCCGCGGCGCCGGGGAATCCGACCGCCGCGCCCGCGCCAAGACCGACGCCGTCGCCGACGGTGACTCCGGGCGCTCCCAGCGCGGCTCCGGCGCCGCGGCCGACGCCGTCGCCGACGGCGGTTCCCGGGGCTCCCAGCGGGGCGCCCGCGCCGAGCCCGACGCCAGAGCCGAGCGTTCATCCAGGAAATCCGACAGCGGCGCCCGTTCCGAGTCCGACGCCGTCGCCGAGCGTTCATCCAGGAAATCCGACCGCGGCGCCCGTCCCGAGCCCGACGCCAGCACCGACGGCGACGCCTGGAAATCCGACAGCAGCTCCTGTTCCGAGGCCGTCGCCAGCGCCGACGGCGACGCCTGGAAATCCATCGGCAGCTCCTGCTCCGGGGCCGACGCCAGCGCCGACGGCGACGCCTGGGAATCCATCGGCAGCTCCTGCTCCGGGGCCGACGCCGGCGCCGACGGCGACGCCGGGAAATCCATCAGCAGCTCCTATCCCGAGGCCGACGCCAGCGCCGACGGCGACGCCTGGAAATCCGACAGCAGCTCCTGTTCCGAGGCCGTCGCCAGCGCCGACGGCGACGCCTGGAAATCCATCGGCAGCTCCTGCTCCGGGGCCGACGCCAGCGCCGACGGCGACGCCTGGGAATCCATCGGCAGCTCCTGCTCCGGGGCCGACGCCGGCGCCGACGGCGACGCCGGGAAATCCATCAGCAGCTCCTATCCCGAGGCCGACGCCAGCGCCGACGGCGACGCCTGGAAATCCATCGGCAGCTCCTGCTCCACGACCAACGCCAGCGCCGACGGCGACGCCTGGGGATCCATCAGCGGCTCCCGCGCCGCGACCGTCGCCGGCACCGACGGCGACGCCTGGGAATCCATCGGCAGCTCCTATCCCAAGGCCGACGCCGGCGCCGACGGCAACGCCTGGAAATCCATCGGCAGCTCCTGCTCCACGACCAACGCCAGCGCCGACGGCGACGCCTGGGGATCCATCAGCGGCTCCCGCGCCGCGACCGTCGCCGGCACCGACGGCGACGCCTGGGAATCCATCGGCAGCTCCTATCCCAAGGCCGACGCCGGCGCCGACTGTTCCTCCGGGAAACCCGTCGGCCGCCCCCGCGCCGCGACCGACGCCGTCTCCGACGGTCCACCCGGGCAACCCGTCGGCCGCGCCGGTCCCGCGGCCGACGCTCTTGCCGACGCGCTGGGAGGATACGGTCCCCATCGACCCCTATACGTCGGCCTACATCGGCACGATGATCCGCGTCGCCAACATGACCGCGGGCGACTTCGGCTCCGCGGAGCGGTCCGCCATGAAGGCGACCATGTTCGGCTTCTTCGGCCCCGAGGGCCTCGCCATGCTCCTCGACGAGTCGCAGGTCTTCAACTTCGACGCCGTCGACATCGCGTCCATCAACCTCGAGATGTACTTCGCCATCGGCAAGAACGCGACCGAGGACTTCGGCGGCACCGACGGGCTCCTCGACGCCTTCCTCGACACGCTGCTGAACGTGACGGGCGCCGGGGACCTCACGCGCGGGCTCCGGGCGAGCTCGCTGGCCTACGGCGCGTCGCCGGACCTCTCGAGCATCGATATCAACGCGTCGCTCGCGCTCATCATCGAGCACACGATGATCCACGAGTACGTGGCCACCTGGGCGCCGACGGTGAGCGCCGCGCCGACGACGAGCCCCGCGCCGACCGCGGCGCCGTCGACGGTCTTCCCGCCGACGCCGGCGCCCACGGCGACTCCGGGAGAGCCCTCCGCGGCGCCCGCGCCGCGGCCGACGCCCGCGCCGACGGTCCATCCCGGCAACCCGACCGCGGCGCCGCTTCCGCGGCCGACGCCCGCGCCGACGGCGCCGAGTCCGCTGCCGACGGAGTCGTGGGCGGACACGGTGCCCGTGGACCTGGAGACGGCCGACTACATCGGCACGATGATCCGCCTCGCGAACATGACCGCCAACAGCTTCGACTCCGCGGAGCGCGACGCGACGCGCGCGACGTTCTTCGGCTTCCTCGGGCCCGACGGCCTCGGCGTGCTCCTCGACGAGTCGCAGGTCTTCAACTTCGACGCCGTCGACGTCGGCGACGGGCGGCGGCGGCTCGGGGACGACGCCGGCATGGACCTCGAGATGTACTTCGTCTGCGGCGAGAACGCGTCCGAGGCCGCGGGCGGCGCCGACGCGCTCCTCGACGCCGTCGTCGACACGCTCAACAACGCGACGAGCTCCGGCGCGCTGTCGGCGGATTTCGCGACGAACGCCTTAGCGTACGGCGCGGCGCCGGACCTCGCGAGCGTCGACGTCGAGGCGACGCTCGCGCTCATCGCCGAGCACACGCAGACCCACGAGTACGTGGCGACCTGGGCGCCGACGACGAGCGCGGCGCCGACCGCGAGCCCCCTGCCGACGGCGGCGCCTTCTCCGGGGCCGAGCGCCGCGCCCACGCCGACGGACCCGACGCCGGCGCCGACGGACCCGACGCCGGCGCCGACCGCCGGCCCGTCCGCCGCCCCCGTGCTCGCGCCGACGCCCCTGGCGACCCTCGCGACGACGTGCGCCTACACGGACCGCGTCATGACCATGTCCGTCGACATCGAGGTCGACGTCACGACGGCGCTCTTCGCCGTGCCCCGCGACACGCGCAACACGTGGATCTCCCTGTCGGCGACGGGCGACATCGACCTGCTCCTCACGACGGCCGACGGCGTCACGCTGCTCGAGTACGCGGCGGGCGGCTCGACGAACTGGTACCCGAACGACAACAACTTCACCTACGGCGCCACGCGCGTCGTCTCCTGCGTCGACAGCTGCGCGGCGTCGCTCATCGCCGGGCCCTACTACGACGGCGCGTCCTACGACATCCAGGGCAGCGCGTCCTACTCCGACGAGTTCATCTACGTGCCCGGCGTCGCGTACGAGGAGCTCGTCGTCTCCGTCGTCGGCTACCAGGCCGGCGTCGGCACCGTGAGCGCGCTCTGGGACTGCCCCGCGTCCTGCGAGACCTGCTACGTCTTCACGGAGCCGCCCTCGCCCGCGCCGACGACGGCGGCGCCCACGGGGACTCCCGCGCCGTCGACCGCGCCGACGGCGTCGCCCGCGCCGAGCGCGGGGCCGACGACGCTCACGGGGGCGCCGACGGCCGCGTGCGGCGACTCGGCGTCCTTCTACTTCAACGGCAAGCCCGCCAAGGACTGCGCCTACGTCGCGGAGAAGCCGGCGAAGCGCTGCGGCCGCCGCGACCTCGACGGCGTCTCCGCCGTCGTCGCGTGTTGCGCGGCGTGCTACCTCGCGCCCACGGCGGCGCCGTCGGCCGGCCCGACGGCGACGCCGGGGCCTTCGGCGCCGTCGGCTTGCCCGACGGCGACGCCGGGGCCCTCCGCGGCTCCCGCGCCCAGGCCGAGTCCGGCGCCGACGGTCGAGCCCGGCAATCCGACCGCGGCGCCCGTGCCGAGGCCGACGCCTGCGCCCACGGTCCATCCAGGCAATCCGACCGCGGCGCCCGCGCCGCGGCCGACTCCAGAGCCCACGGTCCATCCAGGCAATCCGACCGCGGCGCCCGCGCCGCGGCCAACTCCTGCGCCGACGGTCCATCCAGGCAATCCGACCGC